TTATTTATTTATTTTACATAGTACAGTGTCTCATAATATAGATTGGGCCCACAGTGATCCTACTGTTTCCAGCCACCCAAGTGCTACAGGCGCACACCACAATGCCCAGTCTCAATTGCCACCTCAGTGTGCCCCATGGGTGGAGCCAACACGGCATGCTGGGGATCAGGACCCCAGTCCCTGCATCTGCCTAAGCAGGTGCTTTAATCTGCTGAGCTATCTTGCCAGCCCTTCTACATGACATTTAGAGAAGATTTATTACAAATACTCCTCAAACACTTCAAAGAAATTGAAAAGGAAACAATCCTCCCAAAATCATTCCTGCAGGCAAGTATTATACTGATACAGAAACTGAAGAAAGATCCAACAAAAAAAGAGAATTACAGGCCAATCACCATCATGAATATAGATGCAAAAATCTTCAATGAAATACTATCAAATAGAATACAGCAAATCATCAAGAAGATTAATCACCACAACCATGTAGAATTTGTCCCCAAGATGCAACGATGTTTCAACACATGCAAATCTATAAATATAATATATATCAATACAGCCGAAACTAAATCCCATATGATCATCTCAATAGACACAGAAAAGGCTTTTGACAAAGTCCAAAACTCATTAACGATCAAAGCCCTACAGAAAATTAGAATAGATGGAGTATAACTCAACCTGATGAAGGCCATGTGCCACAAAATAGTAGCCAATTTAATTCTAAATGGAGAAAAACGGAAAGCTTTTTCTCTCAAATCAGGTACAAGAGAAGAATGTCTCCTATTCCCACATATATTCAAAATAGTTCTGGAATCTTTAGCTAGAACCATTAGATAAGAGAGAGAAATAAAAAGAATAAAAATAGGTAAAGAAGTTAAACTATCATTATTTGCAAATGACATGATACTCTACTTGGAAGACACAAAATCTTCACCTATAAGCTCCTAGAATTAGTAGATAGGTTCAGTAGCACAGCAGGATACAAAGTCAGCACCAAAAAATCAATAGCATTCCTCTGCACAAATAATGAACTTACTGAGAGAGAAATTAGAGAAAGAATACCCTTCACAATAGCATCCAAAGAAATGAAATACTTAGGAATTAATCTAACAAAGGAAGTAAAAGACCTATACAATAAAAAAACAACCCTCTAAAAAAGAGTGGAGGGGCTGGGGAGATGGCTCAGTGGAATAAGCACTTCCCTGGCAAGCTCAAGAGGCTGAGTTCAATCCACAGTTCTGCCAAAAAAAAAAAAAAAAGAAAGAAAAGAAAGAAAGAAAGAAAAAAGAAAAAAAGAAAGAAAAAAGAAAATAAAATAAAAAAGAGTAGAAAGAGGATTTCAGGAAATGGAAAGATATTCCTTGTTCCTGGATAGACAGAAATAACATTGTAAGGATGGCCATGCTCCCAAAATTGTCATACAGATTAAGGCAATCCCTATTAACATAACCAACATACCTCACAGACCCAGAGAACATACCCACCAGACCTAAAGAAATTCTTTCTAAAATTTATTTGGAACCAGAAAAGACATAGAATAGCAAAGTCAATCCTGGACAACAAAGGCAAGGCAGGAGACATTACAATCCCTGACTTAAAACTATACTACAAAGCTACTTTGCTAAAATCAGTATGATATTAACCAAATAAAAGAACCAAGGATCAATGAAACAGATTAGAATATGCAAATATAACTACAAATACACTCATCTATCTTATCTTTGACAAAGGAGCCAAACATGTTCACTGGAAGAAAGATTGCCTCTTTAACAAACAGTGCTGGAAAAACCGGCTCTCCACGTGCTGAAAACTAAAACTAGACCCAGGTCTATCTCTCTGCTCTAAACTAAAACCAAAATGGATTAAAGATCTAAACACTAAAACAGAAATATTAAATCTCCTGAAAGATAAAGTGGGTGGGAATCTTGAAGACATAGGAGTAGGGAGACAGTTCATGAACACCACCCAAACAGCATGGGAAATACTCCAAAGAATCAACAACTTGGATCTCATCTTATTCGGAACTTTTTTCATGTCAAAAGAAATCACCAACAGAGTGAAAAGATAGCCCACAAATTTGGGGAAAAAAATAGTAACCAGCAATCACTCAGACAAAAGACTCTCATCTAAATTACATAAAGAACTAAAAAAAAAAAAATTAGAACTCCAAAATTTAAAGATACAATGCAAAATGGGTATCTGAGCTGAATACACACTTCTCAGAGGAAGAAACACAAGTGGCAAATAAATACTTAGAAAAATGCTTTGCATTACTGGCCATTCATGAAATGCAAATTAAAACAACACTAAGATATCATCTCACCCAAGAAAGAATAGTTATCAGCAAGACATCAATCAAAAATGTCTACTGCCAATTTCTATTGGTCTTTTAAAGGAAGCAGTTAATGCTTAAGTTTTTTTCTTTTTATTCTTATTTTTTTCTTTTTAATTTCTTACAACTTTTTTATTATTTTTTTTCTTTTTAACCAATTTTGTAGGTTTCTATCTGGCAACCTAAACAACTAATTTGAAGAGAAATTCAAGCAATAGAGCAACAATTGTTGAATTCCTATTGCTTTGTTTAATAGAACTTTGTATCATTTTTTTTTACATTTTTATTGTTGAAAAATTAAAATGAAACTGTGCAGACCCTGCCTCCAGGGCACACTGACATGGCAATTGAGACTGGGTGTGTGGTGCATGCCTGAATCTCAGCTCTTGGGAGGCTGTAATCAGGCGAATCACTATAAGTATGATCTAGTAGTGAGACTCTGAACATCCCATGGACCCTTCCCTAAAATACAAAAAAAAAAAAATTAAAATAAAAAGTGAATTCATGATCACTTAAACCTGTGGAGTCAAGAGTCTGTCTTGATTTTTTTAAAAAAGATTGAGAAAACAGGTGGCTGTCACCAATGTGAAATGACACAATTATTAATCATACATAAAATATTTCCATGAGCAAAATAAGGAAGGTGAGAACATAACATGGGAATTAAAAACTAGAGAGATCTTGAAAGTGTGTGTGTTTGAATTCCTAGAAGACCTTGCTCAGGAACCAGTCCCCAGTGGCATCTTCCCCAGTGATGTGACAGAAAATCTGAGGCTTCTGGGACACCTGTCTCTCTGGGTTAGGGTCTCAAAGGTTGATAGAGCCATCGGCATGCCTCACTGTGACTGAGAAGTCACTGACACTAAGACCTGAAGCTGAGTCCCCAGTAGAGGTGAGTAAATATTTTATCCTATTTTGCATAAAAGCATTCAAAACTATGAACCATGTCTTCAACTCTACTTTGATTTTGGGAGAAATTATGATTTATGTATAAGCAAATAATGCAGTACTTGTACTCACATTCATTCATGAGAATTTTAACTATTTACCTGAATGTAGGTATCAAATGCAATGTAGCTATTCATTTCTCCAAGTAAGGTCTACCACTGTGGTTCACATATTGATAATATCACTGCTGAAGCAAAGAACAACTTCATCAGGGTGCCTATTGATACCATAATTTTATTGTTTCGATATAATCTAAAAAGAAAATGCCATGCTTTTTCCATTGCATGTACAAAAGGCAATTAGATGGATGACTCCTCAAATTCAAAATGATTCCCTTCTTGGTATGACTGTACCTTATGTTTCTCCTTGCGATAATTATCAGTTAGATCAGAGGACATACTGGTAAATACCACAAGAAGATAATGAACTCAGTCCAATAGTGTAACTTGTTTAGAGAACCCTGATGGTAAAATCTGGCTGCAGAACTATTCATGAAAACATGTCAATTATTTTTTTAAATCTTAAGATGAGGTGTTTTAAAAAATGGAATTTCAAACTTGAAGAAATCATTTACTTAAGTGAGGGGAAGACTTTTACTTTTGAAGTCTATATTTCTGATTTCATAAGACTAAGAATTTATGAGAATGGCAATGGAATGATTGCGGTGAGGCAGATTGGTTGATGGCCAGGCCTGGAGGCAAGTCCTTAGTTCACATCTCTGGGAAGACAGTTTTCAGGACTTCAAGACTGCAGTTTTCTATCTCAGGATGGATGCAGGCATCGTCTTCTTCTCAAGGAATAATCAGAGGTGAAAGTTCAGGGTTAAAGGAGAGGGAAGCTGAGCGGCTTGTGCAAAGGATTTGGTCACACCTAACTTGAAGAGATCTCTTCCCAGAAATGGAGTTTGGACTGGCTTATACAGGAATGCATGTTTTGGGAGAGGTGCGCTTCAGCTCCAGGTTGGTGCTGGCAAGAGTCCCAGTTGCCCTGGTGATGGTAACGTTTGATAGAATTTCAAAGGCAGTGGGTTCTATTCCATTGTCTACCAGGAAAGTCCTAGCTTTGCCCCCAACTTTTGCAATGGCCATGGGCTCTTGGTTGCCCTATTTGATAGAGCTCAGCCTTTTCTATCCTTTCAGGCCTGACAGGTTGAATCTCATCTATCAGGGCTGACAGGCCAATTCTTCTCAGTCAATATGTGGAACTAAGATGGAATTGCTGACAGTCATGAGAGATTGCCATCAGATCATGCCATCTGACCAAGACAGGCACAAGTGCGAAGCAGAAGGTTCGGGGAAGGGTCTCTATGGTGGAGTTCAGGCAATGGCTGGCTGGAACTAGCTCAACTGACTGGAAGTAGACAAATATGGAGCCTGGGAGGAAACTGTTGGCAGTAACCTTGGTGGCTTGTGAGGGTGCCAGGGTAGGATTCTCAGCAAGAATGGGGCCTCCTTTTCCTTTCTGTTTTTGTTTTTGTTGTTGTTGTTTTTTTGGGTTTTTTTGAATTGTAGTGAGATTAATTTCAGTTTTAACTCCCTAAAGGCTCTGTTTCCTGCAGTCAGGGATGCTATGGGTTTTGACTAATTTCCATTTCTGGCTACCCAAGTGTGTGTTGTACACACATGAATGATGGTGCAATAGACTAAAGGTGAGTACTCCTCAGAAAGAGACCGCTCAGATGTCCATCTGGGTGTGCCACCTGCAGATACTTAGGCAGAAATTAGCCAAGGAGGGAGTGAGGCTTCCATTACACCATGTGTTGATTGCCACGAACCATCAGGTGAGGCCCCAGTCAGCTGCCTTCCCAGCCTGGGTGCACAGATGGGGCAGCCTGTTGCTTACACTATCCGTTTTACTCGCTCAGTCGTTCAGCAGGCACTGGGAGGTTAAACACACATGCCTCCACTCTTGTGATTTACCTTAACTGGCACACATTGCTCAGGCTCTTCTTCCACTTGAACTGAGCAAGACAACCAGACGGACTGATTTTGTTTACTAACAGGGATCTTACGGCAATCAGGTAGGAAGGTAGACAGACGGACATACCACTGTATCTACTTCCCTTTGGAGTCTGATGGGCACCGCTCAAGCAGGGAGCCTGTACTCCTCCTCCAGATCCCCAAGGGGACTCCAGAAATTTTGAGGGCAGGCCTTTCCCTCAGGACCTGGAGAGTTCCTTGCTCTGTGCTTGAGAGCCACAGCCAGTGACCACAGAGGTGAGTATGGTCTATGGAACACATGCAGCGGCAAACAGAAGCACCACAACCACACTCAGGATTTGGAGGCAGATTCCTTTTATTTATTTATTTTGATGGGCACTAATTAGGATCACTCCAAAAATATCAGACCCTGATCTCTGGTGGTCTAGGACTTACAGGAAATCAGCAAGCAGGCGGTACAAAGGTGAAGGGCTTGTCAGTTTGGGATTGGCTTATCCAACGTGCACTACAGTGACCAGCCATTTCTAAGACACAAGCAACCAGAACTGGAATGAGAAGTACTACCTGGGAGCTAACACGTGGAGTGTACTGGCTGGAGGGAGGGGGCCTTTTCTGCTACAGCACTATTTACATTACTTACTATGCACTATGGTTTAAAATTCACTCAAATCATTATTTTAAGATATTCAACTCCAGTAATTCCCTAATATTTCACTTTTGTATAGCCACATGCTTAAATTGTCATATCCTACACACAATGAATCTGCTCTTTAAGTCTTTTTCTACTTCAGAGTGGCATTTTCCACATGTTCTCTATGGCCTATAGTCCTGCACTATTCTTTCTGCGATTCATTAAATGTCTCTTTGCTTCTATTTCTTTAGATTTCACTTAAACATCACTTTCTCAGAAAGGACTTTCCAAACGTCACAGGTGTTATTCTCCCAGGCTATCTTTTTATTTTAATTTTTTAAAAGAATGCAAAGTGGTATTAGAAAAAATAACATTAGAAAAGGTACAAACTTTCACTAAACAAAGTAACAGGAATTGAACAATAGTTGCTGTATTGCACGATGTCATCTTCGAATTAGTTCAAATTAGGTTATGTCATATAAATGTGCAAAATTGTTCAAAGGAAAAAATCAGATCCACTTGTGCAAACATCATATTACCTCCCCAGCATGAGAACCAGAAAGAGTAAATAAAATAAGAAAGGAGCAACAGATAGTGTGAAAGGGACAGAATTTGTTCAGTGGGAAGGAAGAACTGGGATGAGGAAAAAGATAAAAGAAAGAAGGGAAAAGATATATTTATGTGTACACAACATAGTTTGGGTAATTGTACTAATGATTTCTGCAGGTCTTTTGAAAAGAGAAATTAATGGTTAAATTTTTTTTATTTTGAATTTCTCCCAGGCTATCTTAATGCATTCTCATGTTTAATTTCTTCATCTCAATTAATGCAATTAAGAATTATTCTGTTGAAATGTCTTGCAACACTTTCACTGCCACTATAATTGGAGTGGCAGCTCTGTGACCTGAGAGACAAGTGATTTGTATGAAGCTTGCACGCCATTAGGATGGAGTAGAAATTCAGTCAGTACCTGAATGATAAATAAATAGGGAAATGCTTTAAGGAAACCAAGGGGAAAGACTGATATTTATCAAATAAATATTCAACAATAGTAGGGATCATTTTGATTCTATGTCTCAGATTCCTTTTCCATTGTCATTTAATTTTTCCACTGTAGAATTGTTTCCTAGGTTTTATTCTTTTCTATTGTTCTTAAAAGACATGGCAACAATTGTGGTGTTTGATTGCCCTGACCTTGATGGGGCAATAATCTTTACCCTGCGAAACTAAGTACACCACATTAGACAAAGGACTATGAATGGAGTTCTTCTGGCTCCATACTGTGGAATCTTTGAACTTCAAAGAGTCATTAATAGATATATTTATGAGACAGAAATCATCTTTAAAATAATGGCAAAATATGTCATAAAATCTTTCAAAATAAAGATTAATATTGTAAAAATCAAAAATATTAAAACTAAAATAATGATTAAAAATCAACTAAGTTAAGGGCAGATAAAGTATTTACATAATAAAACTGGCATTACAAAAATTTAAGGTTAAAATATTTAATTTGCAAGGGGAAGTATAGGAGACATCAGACGAATTTGCAAGAAGCTCATGAAGAGCAGAAAAGAGAAAAGTGTCTGATAAAGAACAATGTCAGCTAGATGAATGATGAAACTTTCACTGATACAATATTTTTAAAGAATGAAAAGAGAATTAGCAACCTGAAAAATAGACTAGGAGACACATGTCTATGAATATTTCTTCCACTCAGTAACAAAAAAAATGAGAATGAAAAAGCAATAAATATAGTTGTAATAGTGCACAAGTGAAATTCAACTTATAGCAGGAAAAGAGAGAATGAAGGAAAATGTGCCCAGAATCATCTATAAATAGAAGGAAGAAACCTGAGTTGTATAAATGGGACAAGAATTTGTATTCCTTAGCATCGTAGAATTTCTCATGTCTGACTCACTCTTGTTAAGACATAGGAAATATAACTTCAAATGTTTTCAAATTAAAAACATACTTATGATTTAGTGAAGCAGTAGGAAAAATTCTCACAAGGTTGCATTATTTTATGTTGTTCATTTGATTTGTTGTACTTACATTTTCTTGTTCCACAGCATGGCAAGTATATTGACTACAGCTAGAGCCCCGAGCACCTTAACTGAGCTAGACTTGAGTATTCTTGAAAGAAATCTTGAACTGTTCAAAGCTTGGTTCTCTTTCTTTGCTAATCAGCAGCTACTCTATTTTCCCCCGACAACCCAGGAAACTCGGTTCATACACAAGGGCTGAAGAAGCCCTAACCATAGCTGCTTCCAAGGAATCGGAGCCGTCCTAGGGGCCCTTTGAGTTTGTTGATTGTCCAGGGGTTTGACCATTTCCTTAGGCTTCTTGCTGAGATCTAAACTGGACAATAAAATATTCAAACCATGGTACAACAGGTCTGGGTTTCTGTGATGCATTTTTTAAAACAATACAAAATAGTAATAAAAAAAGCATTAGAAATGAGACAAAACTTCACCAAAAATGTACTAGGGATTCAACACTGCTGCTGCATTTCATGATGTTATCTTTGTAGTTGTTTAGGTTACCAGATATAAACATGTGACAGTGGCTTTAAAAACCAATAACAAAAATAACAACAAAAAAATCTTTAAGCATTAATTGCTCCTTTCAAAAGACTCACAGATATCAGCAGAGCAGTTGTCCAGATTATCGAGTATCTATGCCTAAATATATCTTTTTGCCTTCTTTCTTTGTGCTTTTCCTTGTCCCAGTTTGTCCTTCCCATTGAACAAATTCTTTCCCCTTCACAGTGTCTGTTGTATTTTTCAGATTATGTCTACTCTTTCAGGTTCTCCATGGTGCATGCTATCCATGAAAACTGCTGGATTCTCTAGAAAATCCAGTCACATAGGCATGATTCAAAGACAAAGACAATTACAACAATGACAATGTACATTAGTAGCAATTTTTGACCAAGACTATCCTGACAGCCAAGCCTAGATAACGGCAGCAAATGGTGCCATGGGACCCATTCAGCAAGAAAAATTAGCAGAGACACACACCCTGCTCTCAGGAGGCAGAGGAAGGCCTGTGATGTCACCAGGCCCACTCAATCCTTCCCCAGAGTCCTGGGCATCTGGCTTCTGTGTTACCTTCTAATCTGAAGCTGAAAGCCTCCTGTGGGACAGAGCTCAGTGTCCTTACAAATTCACCTGGAATGTCAAACTCAACATCAGGGCCGTGAATGTTCAGTGAACCAGGAAAACAAACACTTTTCCAAAAATCACCTTCACTGTCCAAACCTTTTTTCCATATATTCAGTTCCCCATAAAATCCCAGTATAGTACCCAAAATATATGATTCCTCACTTGGAAAGTTATACACTTTCTCCCTTGATAGTGTATTCTGATATAAATGAACTCTTGTCTTTTATAAAATAATAATAATAATAATAATAATAATTTAAAAAATAAAAACAAGAGTTGCCTTGTTCTCTACTGCAAAACTCACACTCCAGTTGCTAACCACTTCTTTTCTTCTTCCCTAAACAGATGAATTCCCAACACCTGCATGGCTCCGGTAAACATGACCCAAGTCACTGAGTTCATCCTCATAGGGGTCTCCAATCGTCCCGAGCTGCAAGTTCCCCTCTTCCTCACCTTCCTGGTCATCTATGGGCTGACCACGGCAGGGAACCTGGGCATCATCACCCTCACCAGCGTGGACTCCCGGCTGCAAACCCCCATGTACTTCTTCCTCCGGCACCTGGCTGTCATCAACTTTGGCAACTCCACCGTCATCGCCCCTAAAATGCTGAGCAACTTCTTGGCAAGTAAGAAAACCATCTCGTACTATGCGTGCGCCACCCAGCTGGCAGGATTCCTACTGTTCATCGTGGCTGAGATCTTCATGCTGGCCGTGATGGCCTATGACCGCTACGTGGCCATCTGCAACCCCCTGCTCTACCTGGCGGTGGTGTCGCGGCGGGTCTGCCTGCTGCTGGTGTCCCTCACCTACCTCTATGGCCTTTTCACAGCTGTTCTGGTTTCATCTTGTGTGTTCTCTGTGTCTTATTGCTCTTTCAATGTCATCAACCACTTCTACTGTGATAATGTCCCTTTGCTAGCATTGTCCTGCTCTGATACTTACTTTCCAGAGACTGTGGTCTTCGTATCTGCAGCAACAAATTTGTTTTTCTCCATAACTATAGTGCTGCTGTCCTACTTCAACATCGTTCTGTCTATTCTAAGGATCCGGTCATCAGAAGGGCGGAAGAAAGCCTTTTCCACATGTGGGTCCCATATGATGGCTGTCACCGTTTTCTATGGGACGCTGCTCTTCATGTATCTACAGCCCAGGACGAACCACTCCTTGGACACTGATAAACTGGCTTCTGTGTTTTATACCCTGGTGATCCCCATGCTGAACCCCATGATCTACAGCCTGCGGAACAAGGACGTGAAGGCTGCCTTCCAGAGCTGCGTGACCAACCTACGCGGATCCTGGAAGGGCGTGTAACCTTCGACCTGCATCAACAGAGGCAGACAAGTAGTTTCTTCTATGAACTGTTGCTCAGTACAAAGAGAAGTCTAATGGCCATTTTAAAAGTGTAGTGATATTCAGATTTGGGGAGGAAAAAATTTAAAAAATAAACTGAAACTTTTTGAGATGTGAAGGTTAAAACAGAAACATAGTATTCACCAGTGTTTTGCTGTAATAGTCCAGTAATCAGACAGCAAGAAAAATATTTCCCCAGGAGAGGGGAAAGATGTAATGTTTCAAAATCTTTAAATAATTGTAAAAGGAAAAAAAGATATTGTATTACAAAGTTGATTTTCTTTTAATTCTGTGCCTTCCTTTTCTTGTTCCTTCCTGCATCTAGTTGTTGATGGTAGATCACCGCACATGAAAATCTTTATACATGACTGAAACTCTCTATAGAGAGGTTTCCAAAATTCAGCTGAACCTACTCTTTTAAATAAAACTTTAATACTACATAAACAAACAAATATAGCTGTTATATTTGTACTCTGAATATTAACCATTATTGAACCTGTGAAGGTCACAGTAAGGTGTTACCCCTTCAGTTCATATATAACCTCCCTAGGAGAAATCTTAATATGGAATATTCCTGTTAATATGATTTTCTGGATTTTTAAATGTAAGACATAGAAAGTACTCTCGTTCTTGAGAAGTTTGGCTTTTTCTTACTTTGTGTTAAAAATAAATTTTTGTTTTGAGATACTGTTCATCTTTTAATAACTGTCAAATAATGAAAGCAACCACATGCCTTCATCAGGCGAGAACATCAACAAATGGCGATACACAGATACAACCAAATACTGTTCAGCAATAAAATTCAGGGGAAATTTTTTCAACACAAACCCTGAATGTAGATAGTGGAGTGAATGAAAGCAGGCTTTGCAAAAACATTATTCCATTTGTACACCATTTTATGAAAGGGAAATTTGAGAGATGGTGAACAGAACTGGTGTTTATAGAAGCTTGAAGCCTGAAGGAGAACTATGAGGGCAGGATTAAAGGGAAGAAGTGCATAGATTATTTTACTCTGGTGAAGCTCTTCATCCTGATATGATAATGGGAGATAGGACATATTGGCATTTTTCAAAGGCTCATGGAGATTTCCGGGTGCCCACTAAGCTAACAAACACAAATGCAAATATTAATTTAAAAATGAATTATTGCGGTAATCAGCGAGAGCAGTAACAGAATACAAATTGTGGCAAAGTAATCTAGTGTATTTAAAACGTGTGAAACATTTTTGTTTTTTGCAGTGGGTGTGGAACAGTGTTGACGTAAGTGATCCTGTGAAGACAGAAGTCCATGAGATGGAAGGCAGAAGGAAATTAAGTCACAATATATTTAGTTCCAAATTTGTTTTCCATAACAGTTTAATCATTAATTAAACAAGCAGGTCAATGGATGGATGCTTTCTAAATCAGGTTCCACACTGTCAAATGAGGAGATTTCAGATGCCCAGGAGGAGTGCAGTGTTGGGTCCTTGCAGCCATGGTCTAGGTGAAAAGCTGAAGCTGTTCAGCTTAATGCACACCCAAAGGGGTGCCGACAGTTAGGTGTAAATCTGTGCATCGGTTAGCACACCTATGTCCAGCCCTGTGCCGAGGGCTGAGAGCTCTGACTCATGAAGGTGTCTCCATGTACACAAACACTCTTGAAACACAAATAAAGAGTTCTAATAAACTTCTTCAATGAAAGACGCAAGATTGCTTAGAAAATTGAGTAAGACAGGGCAAGAACTTTATTCTCTGATGTCAGAGAATATGGTTCAGAACGTAAGAAATTACTGAGAGGAAGTCTGTGTGTGGAAGTAAAATATAAGATAAATCCTTGAGGAAGACTGTGTGCCTCAATTAATGGAAATGTGTCTATATAGGGTGGCTTGAGCACTCCTCTATTGTTAAATTAGGCAATCACTCACTCATTCCCTTCTTTATGGCATGAAAGACAGAAAGTGAGAAAGGAAGAAGGAAGGATGGGAGGAAGGAAAAAAGGAAGGAAGGGAGGGAGGAAGGGAAGAAAAGAGGGAGGTAAGTAGAGGGAGAAGGACAGGAAAAGAGAGAGAGAGGAAAGGAGAACAGGAAAAGAGAAGGAAGGAATTAAAAGAGAGAAAGAAAACTGGTGATGGATTCAACTCAAAATGCCACCAGCACTAAATGAAAATGTTTTTAGTGAATTAGATCAATTTGACTTACAAATATATAACATAAAATTTAATAACTTAATTATTATGTATGAAATATGTTTCTATACCATGATGATACAAAAAGGATTATATATTTTGAGAACAGACAAGATAGGACAACGCCCCAGGCATAAAATTCCCCCGCACTTCCTGTGTGGCCTCTGTGGTGACGTGGACAACTCCCACTCCTTACAAGTGAGCACACAAAACGGCCTCTTGCTTAAGGGCGCTGTGTGGGAGCAGCAGAGAAAACTTCACTGTGACGAAACCTGACAGACACTAGCACAATCACCGGGCCGAGGTCAGCGCGACCGAGCGGAGACAAAGCGCGTCAGTCGTATGTGCTCCTGCTGTGATGTTATTAGACAGTTGACTCATGCGTGAATTGTCCTTACCAGAGTCCCTCACCTTGGACTAGCAATAAGAAAAATCGACCGGAGGGAAATTCCTGAAAATACTCCATCGGTACACTCATTAACACTGTCATGATTATAAAAAACAATAACCTAGAACACTTTCAGAACATAGACAACTAAAGAGATTAATTTATTCTAAATGAAATCTCGGAACACAAATGGACGTTGCGTGAAAACTGAGGAAATAGGATTGAAATATGGAACGTATGGATAAGAACAACACAATGTTGCTATGAAGTAAGGGGGAAAAATGGGAGAAGAAGGATCAAGTGAAAACTGAGCTTTGTGAATGGGGAGGGGAAGGGATTTGAAAAGAAGGGATGAGAATGGAAAACTAAAAAAGGAATCAAGATATGTAATGCACGAATGCAAATACCGTGTGATGCATGTGACTGCTACGTATGCTGAAATTGTGCCAACACAGCGCAAGGCACAAGCACCTTCCTGGCAAGCTCAAGGTTCGGAGCTCGATTCCTTGTACAAATATCCATATGAAGTAAAATAAGGAAATAAAATAATAGGAAAGACAAAGAAAAATAGGACTTGAATGATTTCACGAGGTGTTATTGAAATATGTAATGAAAATTATTACAGAAGGCACATTAATGTATCAGTCACCCTCAAGACTCTCCCA